ACACTTAACCTGATCACTTTGCAGAGAAGAGCTGGTCTTTAATGAATCCCTCAGTGCCTTGCAGAGGTGCAGTAGGAGTCCTAGCAACTTAAAAGGCAGATTCAAGAAGGTAAGCCCTCCCAGGGGATCAGCAAATGCCCAGTGCTGAAGTGGGGTGTGTGTGTTTCCTCTCCCAGGAGTGGCTCTAGGAAGTGGGCTCCCCATCAGGTGGAGGTGGAGGCCATCCTGCAGAACACCACCAAGATCTCACACAAGGTCTGCTTCCCCAATGACACGGAACAGGTGAGAACTCCTCCTCTCTCTTTTCCTCTCCCAGTCCAGGCTCTAGGGCTGCTTTTCAATGGAGCTCAGGGCTATTGTATGTGAAAGGACTGCAGGATCTGCCTCTCAGCTGCCTAGATTTCCAGAACAGCTCTGAATTGTCTGCATGACCTATTCCTTTGTCCCTGTCATCCCCTTTCTTCCCTGCCTTATCAACTTGGGGCCTCTGGTATGTCTCAGGCATTTGAGGTGGGAACGAACACCAAAATCCGGAGTCTGTGTCAGACTATTGCCTCCAAGCTGCAGCTCAGCTCCTGGGAAGGATTCAGCCTCTTCATCAAGATCGCAGACAAGGTAATGCCACTCAGGAACACAGCTCAAGGGCAGCCTAGGTTGCTTGCCAGGAGCCAGGGAGGGCCATACTGAAGTTCAAGTAGCAGAGCAGATAATTGCTGCTTTCCTCCTTAATGTAGGGATGGCACCCAGAGGGACTACGTCTGGTCCCATCTGGGTTGTGGACAGCAGGACAGAATAGCATGGACTTCCCTTGGCTCATGGGCTGTCCCTCAGCCACTCTGATGTATCAGCTGGGGGTGGGGGGCGTTGCTTGTTGCACACTACTCCCAGGGTCTGACCCCAAGAGTTGTTGTGCATCTGCAGCTCCAGTTGGCCTTAGTGGTCATGGAGGGAACTCACTCTCACCCACTTCCACTATGCTGTCTCTGAAAAGCACATTTTGGTTAAACTAAAGCCTGGCTGTCTGCACTGGCTGTCTAGCTGTGAGCCTTCTCTTTCTGCTCATTGTGCCTCAAGGAGGGTACTGTCAATGGTCTGCGTATCACTGTGCTTCAGGGCAGAGGGAGTCCCAAGTCTGCCAGTGTTGCCTACGAGGATATAGCTGAACACTGGCTAGGCAGGGAGAGCTGTCCTCGCTGGAAGCGAATGGGAATAGGGTGAGGGAAAGCTGTGGGAACAGACTCTCCCAGGAGCTTTCCTTCCTTACGTTTCCCTTTGCCTCTGCTCCTGCTTTGCTTTCTGCACAGTGCGCGGATGCTTGAATCTGGTGACTTGATACTCTCCCTGTGAAGATAATTCCCTTCCTTCTGTTGCTTGCCTGTTCTAGGTGATTAGTCAGAATGAAGCCGACTACTTCTTTGACTCTTTAAAGCAGGTGACTGACTGGAATAGGAAGAGCAAGCCAGGGAAAGATGGTAAGGGAGGGATTTTTTGGAGGGGGTGTGTTAATCCCTAGCAGTGTTGTATGTCACTGCTCACCTGGAGACACTGCAACCAGGGAATCAGCAGGGCCTTCTCACAGAATTTATTTAACCTCTGCAACTGATTCAGCTGGGAGTCTTGTTTTAAACCTTTTGCTGATATGGTCCATGTGTGTACTGCTGGGATCACTAGTTCTGGCATGAAAAGATCAGCTGACCTGGTGCAGCCAGATATGCACAGAGACATAGGAATAAGCCTGTGTGTGGGCATCTACAAGTTTGTTAGACATCACATGCTGATGCTCTGACTTGCTGCATCCTTAATGGCGCAAATGACTGCAGGTCACAGCATGAGCTCCATGTGCAACTACTCACAGGTGAACACATCAAACACTGCATGAGCTCCCAGCACAACTCTGAACCTTGCTTCTTTATAAAATCATTGTCTGGATCACTCTAGTAGCCTGTTTAATATTACTGTTATCTTGTGATAAGCACTTTTAGGGTTAATTCATTTCTCTCCTCATCCCCCACAAGGCTTGTGGTACTGCTCATCAGCTTCCTCCAGTCATAAGTGCAGTGACTGAGAGCAAAAATAGGGTTTATCCAACTGAATTTTTTGCATTAATTTACCAACATCTTCTAAATAAAATTTAAACCTGAAACATACTGTCCCCATGACACCAACAGGCCAGCAAGAACTGTCTCTTGGGAACAAAAGTCCTGTCCCTGAGGGTCATTAGGCAATGATTTCTGAGCTGACAGCAGGCTTATCTCCTCAGGGGCTGCTGTGGCTGTGACTTACCAGGTGTATTTCATGAGGAAGCTGTGGCTGAACATATCTCCAGGGAAAGACTTGAAGGCTGACTCCATCTTTCATTACCACCAGGTAGATGTAGACAGTAAAGAAGCCCATGACACCCTGGGCCAGAGGCAATACTGTGGCAAAGCTTATCCTACTGAAATATTTCTTGCTATTTCCAAGTATCTCTAGGGACAAGCAGCTTAAAACACACAATAAGTGTAATAATCAGTTGCTTTCTGTTGGTGCAAAATGACCTTCCAGGGCAGAGGTCAGCCTTGAGTCTCAGGCCTACCTTTTGGTTTCATGTCTGGATGAGCCTGTACTGGCCCCAGACCGTTCTCTCGACTCACAGATTGTTTCTTCCAGGAACTGCCGAAGTACCTGCGAGGCTACCACAAGTGCTCCAGGGAAGAAGCCATCCAGCTGGCAGGGCTGATTTATAAAGTCCGTTTTGACAATGACCGGTCACAGCAGATAACTATCCCAAAAATCCTAAAGGAGCTAGTGCCAGACAATCTGCTCCGAGTGATGTCCCAGGAGGAGTGGAAGAAGGTAAGAGCCTTTCCCTACAGCTTGATATGAATGGACATCTTTGGAGCCCAAAGAGGGGATTGATGGTGGCCACCAAAACCTGGATGTGTGGCAGTGTTGTTCTCCTGGAAGAGAGCTGGGAGATCTGGTGCACCTTTACACTGTCCCTCCAGGAGAGTCAGGGAAATAAACTGCATGGCTGGTGACCTTCCCTTATGCTCCATCAGGCCTGGAGGTGAGCTGCAGTTCTGAGAGGATCCTTCCTTATCCCTGATGTCCAGGGGGGGAAAAAGTATATGATAGGGGATGCTGGGAGACTTTTGCCTCTCCTTCCATCTGTCCCACTCTGAGCAGCTCCAGGACCCACTTCCTGCAGGCACAAGTGATCCTTGCTGCCACTCCGAGAGTCTTGTTACACCTTATGCTGTAAGCTGAAAAAAATGTTAATTGGCTTAGTGTTGCTCAGCTTAGTGGAGCAGTCACAACTGAAGGTCAAAAACTCTCTCTGCCTGTCCCTCACCCGCACAGCTGTGACTTTCCACTAGAGGCTTGGTGAGCAGGGGCAGGACTAGGAGCTAGGGGCAGGACTGGCTGCTCCTGCTGGACAGAGAAAGCACTGCAGCCCTGGAGTGCCCAGAAGCCCTGCCACCACCTGGATCAGTTTGTTGCTTGAGCTCTGAGGGACCTCATCCTTTTTTTCTCTAGAGCCCACCACACTGCACCAATACTACCTGGGCTGTCAGTCAGCCAGGCAGTGCCTAAGCTCTGAAAAGGATTGGGCCCCTCAGCTCAGACAGTGACAGTGCAGGGGGAGACAAGCTCCAGAGAGGAAAAAAAAGGATGGGACCCCAAGAACTTGGACACACGCTCCGGCAGGGCCAGGCAGCAGGAGCAAGGGTGGAGCTTGGCAGCTGCAACATGGCCTCTAGAGTTCCTGCTGACCCTGCGCTCTGCTGGGCTGTGCAGGGTCTGGCTGCTGGTGCCCCCACTTGGCTCACCCAGCAGGACTGCTATGGTTGGCAGTCGCCTGAATGAAGCCTCTGAACTGCCCCCCCCTCCCCGCCCCCCCATAGCAGCTCTAGGCATGGAGTGCAGGGTTCAGTGCTGCTCATCTGGGCTGGAGCTGCACAGAGCAAGTGGGGAGGCTGCACTGCTCACAGCTGTCTCCCAAGCCTGGTGGGGTTGGGAAGTCACATTCTTGTGCCCCACTCCCCACCCCAGCATATTCCAGGGCCTGGACTAGGAGACAGGGGCAGGACCGACTCACTGCTCCTGCTGGGCAAAGCCAGAGCCAGTCCCAGGGCTCACTTGCTCTGCTTAGGCCCAGTAGTCTGAGAACATGCCAGGTGGTGGGGAGAGTGGGTACAGGGACAGGACTTCCCACCCCTCCCAGGTTTGGGAAGCAGCTGTGAGCAGTGCAACCTCCCTGCCTGCTCTGTGCAGTGCCAGCACAGATGGGCAGTACTGAGCCCTATGCTCCATGTGTGCAGCTGCCCAGCTGCTACAGGGGTTCAGAGGCTTCAGGTCCCTGCCAACTGCAGCTGTTGCCAGGTGAGCCAGGGAGGAGCCAGCAGCTGGACCCTGCACGGCCCAGAGGAGCCCAAGGTTAGCAGGGACCAGCCTCAGGCTGCTCTGCTGCAGCTGCCAAGCTGCACTCCTCCAGCCACCCAGCCCCACTGGGGCATGTGTCCAGGCCCTGGGGACACAGGCACTTAGCTTGGGGCACACTGCAGTGGAGAGCAGGGCTGGGCACAGGTTCAGCTGTGGGTCACCACCAGCCTACTGCCCCATGCAGGCACCACGGCCTGAGCCCTGCCTGGTTATTCAGAGTAGTGAACTGATCCAGGAGGCACTGTGGTCACTCCAGGGCTGTGGCATTGGCTCTGCCCAGTGAGAGCAGTGGGTCAGAGGCAGCATGCTGGGCCCTGCCCCCAGCATTCCCACCTTGTCTCAGGAGGAGCCACTGCATCCTGGGATGCTGGAGGACTTCACCTTAATGAAACAGGAGCAAAATTAGGCACACTAGAGATAATCCTGCCCTGGAATGGTGCGACTTTAAGCCAAGTACCAGGTTCTTTAAAGCACTTAAAGGTGTTAATGTGCAGCGAATCCAGGGATTAAGAGCTCCAGAAGCTGCCTAAAACTACCGTGTAACAAGGCCCTGAAAGTGATGTGGTCACATGACAATGTTGTGGCATTATGGTATTGCCTCTAGGAGTTGCACTGAGTAGGAGAAAGCCTGCTGGCACACTCACTAGGTTGTTCACGTGTTCCTCTTCTACACAGAACATTATTGCAGCGTACAGCAAACATGAGAGGAAAACAGTGGATGAAGCTAAGGTTGCCTTCTTGAAAATTATATACCGCTGGCCAACATTTGGGTCAGCCTTCTTTGAAGTCAAGGTAAGTATAGAAGGCTTCTTATTCTGTATGCATTAGTGGGTCTGCCAGCCAGGTTGCTGTTCAGTGGGGATTAGTATTTACCCCAATCTGCCCTTCGTGTGTATGTGTGCACGTACATACATACATACAAGCATGGGGGTGGAGGGGTGGAAGGAAGAATGTGACCACCTTACAGAGGGGAAGCCAGATCTGGAATGAAAAGCAGCACTTAGATCCTTTGTAGTGGAATAGTGGTCCAAGGTCTCTCCTATCCAGTGAGAGAAGGTTCAAGTGGTCTGAGGGAGCTCAGCAGTCCCTCCCTACCGTTTCAGTGAAACAGCTCTCCCAAAGGGCCCCAGGCGCCTCCTCAGGTAGCTGGTCTCCCATAGGGACAGCTGAACTAGACACCGCATTTACTAAGGAGCCACTGCAGAGTGCTGGACTGACAGTAAGCTGGGTTGCTGGGGAGGGGGTGCTATATTATATGCCACTGAGATCCCATAATTATGTGAGTGCAATGTTCTTGGTCCTGCTGCCCTCAAGGTTCAGCAAGATCCATGATCAAAGTGTAGTAGCATACTAGCATTTTCACTCTACAGATGGTCCTTCTCAAGGACAAATACTCCTCCAATGGCCCACCATCCCCCACTTTGTTCTGTGGAACCCTGGAAGGATGCTGGGTGGACTGCAGCATTAGACATACTATAGACTAGAGGCCCTGTAACCCTGATGCTGACTTGCTAAGGCTTCAACAGAACTTTGGCTCAACGAGGCCTCAGCTTCTAGCAGGTCTTCCTCCTCCTCTTTAGTTTAAAAAAAGTTCTCAGCTTATAACAAAGCCCCCTTCCCTTTCATAAAAGGTAATAAATATCAGGAGAATGTAGGACCAGGCTCAGTCAAACTACCAAACATATAAACAAAAAGTTTCGAGGGCATTACAAATCACACCTTAAAAATAAGTTGGGAGATGGGAAGTTTGAAGGAAGGTTTAACAATAAGAAAACAACTAATTGGTACAAATACTGAAGTAGTAGAATACAATACCCCTGCATGGAGGCATCTTAAAAAACACCAGCTTGCATCTATATAATAGCTAGTAATTGACTTTCTTTTTTTTTTTTTTAAGTTATTCAATGTATAACAAAGATATAAAAATGTAACTGTTCTCTCTCACTTCAAATGTATAACCACTGCACACTTCCCCTCTGCCAGCCACTCTAATGAGCCAGCTGACAGTAATAAAGGCTTTCTAATTATACTCATAGTGGTTTCATTAAGCTTAATAGAACCGCCTGCAGCAGCCCAGAAACAAAGCCAAACTCTGCAGGGCTGGGGCCTGGTTGCAATGCCTACTACACGCTCCCCCTCTCTCCTCCTCCTGCAACTATGAGGTGTGCAAGTCTTCAAGATAAGTTATGCCTAGGAATGGCTGCTTCAATGTTAATCTGATGATGACAATAAATAGCAGTGAAGTGGATCTTTTTCCATCTCCCTTTGTCTGTTTACCACTTCATTTTGTTCCTCTTTGCCAGCAAACCTCAGAGCCAAATTTCCCTGACATCATACTGATTGCAATCAACAAACAGGGAGTCTCCCTGATACACCAGAAGACCAAGGTAAGAGCTGTTTTCTCAGTGCTTCTCTGGACCTCTGGGAAGTGCACATTTATGACTGATACTCCTAAGGAAGAATCCCCTCAACGGCAGTGCTAGTTAGGGATAGGACCTTCTCCTTTAATTTTAGGAACTCCATTGGTCTCCTGTTGATTTGCTGTGTAACACTGAAGTAAATACAGTATATTGCCACAAATAGCAGTAAAGGGACTATTCCAAAGCACTCTGAGTAACTGCCATATGCATTCTTTGCACTGGACAGGAAAAAGCTAAGACAGCTGTTACAAGGGGGGAACATTACAAAAAAGCTGTGCATCAGGGAACCTCCTTTAGATTTCCCATGCTGAATTCTCTAAGTGGTCCACAACACAGCAAACAAACAAGATGGAAAGAGGCTGGTAATTCAACTGCAACCCTGTTCTTGGTGCAGATTGGCTCTATCAGTCCTGCTGAAAAGACAACCCCGTCCTTTTAAAGCTATTCTTATTGTTCATGTTGGCATCTTGCTTTGAAACCAGAAAACAAATAGCCAGGGGCTTAATGGCTACTCTAACACATAAGCAGTAGCATGGTGTGGGGAGAACTGACTGAGTTACAGGAAGGTGTGCCGGAGTCCTGAAAGCTAAGTACTGAGCTGCTCTCCTGCAAGCAGTGGGGATTACACTGAGCTGTTTGGGATACGTGAGCTGAATTTGTTGATGCCTTCAGGGAGGGGAGCATAATCAGTAAAGGGAAGGATTACTTGCCCAATGTTTTCTGATCTGCCAAGGAATCTATTTCTTCATTGCACTGTTCAGTCCTTTCTGTCCATTTGGTTCTCTGCAGGAAATCTTAACAGGTTACCCCTTTAATAAAATCTCCAACTGGTGCAGCGGCAGCACATACTTCCACATGACCGTTGGGAACCTGGTGCGAGGAAGCCGGATTCTGTGCGAGACATCTCTGGTAAGAGGAGCCTCATTGTCTCAGACACAAGACCCTCCTCCACATTTTTCCCTTATGTCTACAAGCATCAACACGAAGTGCAAGGCAGATGCTGGAACACATTAAAAGAGCCAGATTATGGATGGCATACTGTGTCCTGCCAGATCTGGCTTTAGGGTTGATGTGGGGGGGAAAAAAAAACAACTGTTCCAATTTCACAGACAGTCATACAGCTCATGATCAGACTGGTGCTCTGCACCACCATCCACAGGGGCACACACAACATGCTGTTACCAAACTGAAGGGAAAAATAAGTAATTTCCCACGCTCTGTCCACAAATCAAGCCTCTTGTCTGAGACAAAGAAAAGGTTTCCCTTCACAGCAGAACTGAATAGGATCTTCCTTTTACTGCATGCTTTGGTAAGCAGTGATGATCCACTGTTGCCATGAACAGGACATGTTCTACTGCCCCAGAGCTCCCATTTCAGGCTGCCTAGAGATGCAGACAGGCACCAGCACATTTTTAGATCAATTTGTACTTTTACATTTAAGATAAACTTCAGGGTTCTTGGCCAGTATTTAAAGCTCCAGTTCTGATACAGATAATGGCAGCTTATAACAGCATGAAATGCTGGCTTGAACTACTATATATTGCAGACACAAGCAGTATGGTATACCCAGATATTAAAAAAGTGCTAGAATTGGCAGAGAAGGAAGAAGTTCTGGGAAGAAACTGGGCAGCAGATAAGAACAGGAGCAAAGGACAGAGTCTTGGAAACTATAATTCAGGTTGTTCAATGGCCTGTGCTAGCGACCTCATTTCTCTCTCCCCGAAGGGTTACAAGATGGATGACCTGATGACATCTTATGTGAACCTGCTAATGAATGTTGTAAACAAGCAGAAGAGTACCCACCTCCCAGCCTGAGTAAGAACAAGCCCCCTACTTCATACACGTGCCAAACTGCATAGGTGTCCTATCCCAGAGGGAAACTTACTTTTGAATACCCATTCTGCCACTCATTCCTCTGAACAGACCTGGACTGAAACATGGAAGCAGAGTACTGCTACAAGAGAAACCCAAGGGAATATGCACCTTCAATCATTTTAAATTTGCCAGTGTAACAATACAATATAATAGGATTTTGGACTTCAGAGCAAGTTCAGTTTAATTTCAATGTCAGTGTAGTCCTCCACTCAGAAGAGGACACACATCTCCTAGTTACTTTCTCCTGGGAAGGTAAAGGGCACAGTGCTTGATATATTCCTACCAATTCCCTTGCCTGTTGGTAAATACGACGGCGGGCTTTGCAGGAGGGAAGAATTGTTTCTGCTAAAATGGGGCAAGGGCTATTTTGGATTTTTGTTGCCTTTGGACAAGCCTATACTAGTGCACTTCCTTCTTTTTCCCCCAGCCTTCCTTTCACACCAGACTCACAATACACATGAACCAAGTAGGCTAACATGGCCTGACTACAACAGTTATTTATACCGAGTAGCCCTCCCTCAATTTTTTTATATTTATAAAGGAGCGCTGCTCAGTGCAAGCAAGGATTTGAAGAACTGAGTCTTTAACAGAGACATCCTTTGAAGAGAGCCATTTTTCTGCTCTTTAGAAGTCTTCCCAGCCTAGAGTGCTGTAGACATTCTTTCAAGAGACAAAAAAAGTCAGTTACTTAATTTGAGTGGTCTTCATTCCTCTTGCTTCCTCCTATTTCCTGTTTGACAGAGTTTATGTGGTAAAGTTTGTTTGACGGTCCATGTGATAAATGGACACTGAGAAACATACCACTAAGAACAGCTCTGAGTGTCTAGCAAGGCAGGCAGACTTGCAACTTGCATGTTAGGAACACAAATACTTGCCACTTCCCCAACCAGGAGCCCTCTTGTGACCACAATGGAATGTGGTAGTCAGTGCATTTACACCAAGTTCCTTGAGGCGTGATTCGGCAGCTCTGCTGGGTCTCTCACACTGTTGCCAATGTATGCACAATGGGGTCTGTTGTCCCCTTGGATGTGCATGTGAAACTCAAACATTAATAGGATTTCTGTACATGCATAGCAGGGAGAAGAGCCTCAATATCTCTGTGCATCTCAATGAGTGCCACACTTTTCAGAATACTTGATCCTTTTCAAGCAATTAGATATTCCAAGTGTAACATCCATTGCTGGCAATGGAAGCACTGAAATGACCAACACTGAGGTGTTAGTGCACTCTACTTCTAAATGCCATTTGAATAGAACAAGTGTGTAAGACTTCTCAGCTCCTCTGTACTAAAATGTTTGCAGCCAAAGGATCTTGTTTGCAATTTTTAAATAAACAATTACAGAAGATCAATAATGCAAATGTAGTCTTTCTTCCATAAATCAGATGAGCATTTTCTCAGGTTCTCTGCAGTTTAAACCTATCCAAATAGCTTGGGGTACCACTACATTCTCATAAAACACTTTTCACCACTGACAGCAGCAGCACCACCTGTGCTACACAGCATCTGTCAGACAGTTGCATGCCTGTACCGGGTCCAGTGCTGATCACATATTGCCATCTAACCATCATTAATCTGGAAATAGCACAAAATATGCTGCAATTTCAAATCTTCCTAGTTAGCAAGTGACTTGCTTTGGCTCACAAAAGAGTTAACACCTTTGCATCACTTCATAGTGTACAATACAATATTTTAATCTTTGGTGCAAAGTATAGAGATGCACTGCAGTGCACTTTATTACAGGAACATAACACAGGTGAGATTACAGAACTACAGTCAAGCAGTCATGTTCTGGATAAACTTCACAAACCCAAATGTACTGCAAAACAAAAGGTCCATGGATCCATACAATCCACCTCACGTAATAGCACCCCATGCAATGCAAGAGAATTTCTTCCCTCACTCTGCATAATCCCACACATTTAGAGCACAAATTAGTACAATCTCCAAACCACTGCTTCCCCTGCCTCCATCTAACCCAGAGATTAGCAACATCCAGGCCACAGTCTTACAGCTTTGTCTGTGCTTGTGCTCATACTGAGGCTGAGCAGTGAGGAGCTGTACCAGATCTAGGGAGCTGGAAGCTGCACCCACACTTCTACCACTTCTCTCTACCCACTTCCCCAAGGTTGCAGCAGAGGCACAGCTTCCAGCCAGAGGTGACCTGGGACAAGCCTAGGAGCAGGGAGCTACACCCACACTGTTGCCACTTGTCTCTATCCCCCTTCTCCATCATCCCCAAGGCTGCAGTGTGTGGCTCTGGTGGGAGCTTAGGGAAATACCTGCCCCTCCCCTTAGCTGCTCATGTGCCATGAAAACCACCTGACCCACGCTGGATCATGGAAATTAGAGGTACAGCCTCTGAATCAGAACTTCCTAGACCTTAAATGCTGGATGATCCATGTGAGAAAGGAACAGTGGAAAGAATCCAGGTCATACCCTGTTCACTCTTCCTTTTAGCATCCACTCCCTGCCACTGTGTGAAACACAGGATACTGGGCAAGATAGACCTATGGTCTGACCAGTAAACAGCAGTTCTCATGTTCTTATGACAGGAGCTGGGTTGTTCTGACCCATTGCTTGTTAAAGGTTGACAGTCCCTGATCTATACATTGAACTTTAACTCTTCAGTTCCAGAAGTCTGCATGATCCAATACAAGAGACACATGGCATTAGAAGTGTTGGCCAGTGATGGCTGTGAGGCCATTTTAGCTAACATTGTGTGGACTGCTATGAAGGTAAGTACCAAGATCTAAACTAGAGAATACAGTAGTTCACTTGGTCATACAGAAGGCTATCAAGTGATTAATACTTCCCTTGAATGTTAGCTGCACATACTGCTATTTCTAGAAGCATTGCCATCTTCAAGTGTGTTCAGTGAGCATTAGTGATTTCTATTTAATATGCATACATACACATTTATAGTTTTAAAAGTAAATGGTGGAAGAGCTGTTTTGAGTAATTAACAAAGCATACAGTTTTGGAACAAGTTCACCCTTGATGTGATTCCATTAACTTCAGTGGTGTAACAGCTAGAATGAATTTGGCTTGTGTGTCTGCAGCAACGGAAAATGCATACAGTCTAAATTTCTGCCTAAGAGAAAGTTCCCTCCACCTCTGGCTTTATGAAGAAAACACTGAATATGAAGAACTTGCAGATACCCAATTCTCTGCTTTAGAACAACCAATAGGTCTGTTCTAACTGTTCCCTTTTCTAAAGAAAAGTAGCGCCAGGGAAATTACTTTTCTCAAGTTGTCCCGCCAATTCCTTGATTCCTCAGTCCCATAAGAGGTGTGACAGTAGTGTGCAAAATAGTGTAATATAGACTGTACACTATATGAAGTAAGGGTTCAATAAAGTATTCATGGGAGGTAAGTGATTAGGAAGGGACCCTAGAGGCATGTCTGCACTGCCTCTGCTGAGCCCTCCCCACTAAAGCCAAATCCTAGGTGTGAGGCAATGTAGCAATCAGGCTCAGCCTCAGAGATACTTCCTGGCACATGGTCAGTGTCACTCTGGGGTGGCTACATCTCCTCATTTCCAAGAGCTGGAGCACATGGTGCAGAAGTGAGAGGAGGTCAAGTGCTTCTAGGCTCTGCACAGAGGTGGCCTAGTTATCCCATAAGACACTGATTATCCCCAGTACAAAGCACAAGGAGGAGGATGTTGTTTCTTTTACATAAACCTGATCTGGCTTCATCTAGATCTAATGGATTTCAGAAGAGATGAAATGGGTCTACACTGCATTTCTTCCCAAAGTAAAAGGCATACCTTTTCATCTTTACATGGACAAAATTAATCAAATATTTGCATTTTCCATTGCTAAACTCAAGAGTGGCTACTGCAGGAACACAGTGGGTTGCATTTGAACTGGTCTGGAAATCTCTGACAACCCATGAGTTACTCTGCCTTTGCATAGTTGCAGATGCCTATGCCAAGTTTCATTATCATCTTCCCAGGAAGCTGAAGATAACTCAGCTCTGCAGATTCATCATCATCAGGTGCCTTCCTGTGATTACCATTACAGGGAATACATCTGAGAAATTGTGCTATGAGCTTTTGAATGCCCTTCACCTGAAGTGCCTGAACTCTGAACAGGCATAGAGGGCTGGTTCTTGCAGCAGCCACTTAGAATAACTCTAAAAAGTGTGCTTTTATTTTGACACCACGCCTGAAGCATGGTTCAAGAACTAGAGAAGGATATAAGGTGTCCTCCTATGCTGGTAAATTGTGACAAAAAAAACCCAAAACACCGTCTATTCTATTGTGCTTTGTGACAGTCATGGTGGAGGATGGAAAAGCTTTACAGATAGACAGAGCCATCCCACCCTACAGCCACAGCAGAAGCAGTATTAAATGGTTATGGTGGTTTGCTACAATAGAAAGTCAAGCAGTTAAAGGCAGTTTGAATTAAGGAAGTCTGACATGTTGAGTCCTTTCACCAACATTTCTACTACTGCTGTCACTAGTGACTTCCCTGGTGTCAGCAACATGGTATACACCTGGATCAGGGGTATATCTTCACTGCAACAGTAAGACAGGCCCATATTACTCAGCTAGCTTCCATACACACCCAAAGTCTCTGTCCCATGCATGAAGACACCTATCTAGCTATCTCATTCAGGTATATAGGCTAAAGCTCACGTGCTGCTTTTGCTGGAGCTGGTAACACATTCAAACTGTGGGCATAGTGGTGGGAAGCTCTTCATGCAAGACAGATTTGAAAGTGGAGCAGGGGAAACCATACATTTGATGCTTAAATCACTGTTCTTACCCAATTCTAGATACAGGAGAGAGAAAGAAAAACAGGAGAGAGACAGGAGAGAAAGAGAGAGAGAGAGAGACTGCAGAAACAATGGTGTACAGCTTAAAAGCAGTGACCTGGCATATCCACTACTGCCCAAGCTTCTCAGTAGAGGCCAGGCTCCCCATGCTGTCAGTGTTAATTTGCAACTGCCTGAGTGAAGAGACATTCAAAATACAAGAGGCAGTAACCAAAGAAGAGGGAGGCACTGTGTGTCTGATTTGTTTTGGTCAGTCATTCTTAATACTTCCCTTTGTGATCAACAGCTGCTGCACATTGCAGTCTGAGACCACTGTGAGTACAGGCAGCAGAATGACAGACCCGTTTAAGCAGAGTTTAAGTCCAGAGCTTTGGGCTGTGATTTCTTGGAGGCCAGCTCAGACAGCTTCTTCAGACGTTTCTTCAGCTCCAGGGGAAATTTCTCATAGCACTTCTTGCACACGGGCTTCATGTCAAACTCCACAAACTTGTTCCTTCAAAGAAACACAAAGCTATCAAAGCAGCTCTTGGAAGCTGGAGCCAGGGCCTGATGCAGGGTGGAAGGGTGGGATGCTGCCTCTATTCCTTGTTTAAGTTCTTGGTCCAATAGACAAATCCCTACCTGACCACAAACACACAAAATCGGACTAATGCACACACAATTAGTGTTTTTGCCAAGTCAGGTGCCAACTCTGTACACGCAGATACTCCTGGTTTACTAGAGATTGGCTTTAGGGCAATGGCCAATGCCCCACAATGGAGTAGCTCTTGTAACTATAGCAATGCTTCTGCTTAACTTTCCTAAGGCTGGGAGAGGCAATTTTCCCACTTGTAATGGGAAGAGGGATTTCAATTCTTCATTCTCTGTCCTGACTACTCCCTCTAGCACACCTCAATGTGGAACGATGGTCCTTGTCAGTACCATGAGTGGGAACATTTGTTTTCTTTATACAGACCTATAGTGCTTTTCTTCTGTTGAATTTCACTGTCTTTTCCTTGTTTGGTATGTGGCTCCTTTGCTACAACAGTCCTTTACAAAGGGGAATAAAAAGTTTCAAGCCAAAAATTTAGGTGAACGTCAATAGGACCATCACCAATGCCTCCTGCCATGGAACTGGGCAACTGCATTCACTCAGCTGGCAACATCCAGGAAACAGAAGCAGTGTTTACCTGGCAAGGTTAGGGAATTAGACACTGAAGTTGTGTTTTCAGCCAGATCCATCAATTCCTTGTCCTCTCCCTTAGACTTTTCCATATTTCCTGCCATTCAGCTTCCTCTTGGTTAATGCTCCATCAAGCTGCAGCAAAGCAAGCTCACTGGCACCTGTGCTAGAACATGCCTGGGGAGGAGGAAGTATCTCCCATCTCAGACTGCCATCCCATAAATTAATTTTCCCGAAGTCTGGCCTGATTTTGATATTCTTGTTTCCTAAATCCTAACTTTTGTAGCATAGATGTTTTGCATTAAAGCATGAACTAAACTCCGGAGTTGTGCTGTCTGGCACTCGCACTGCTTCAACATCTTGACACATGCAATGGTAAACTGATGCAACGAAGAACCCAGCGGGATGATGGAAGCAAGGCCTTCATCATTTCATTATTGAGTTAGATATTACCAACTGCTTGTATGTATTTGTCTAAACAACAGCACTTTCCAAAACCTACCTTCTGTGATGAAAATACCAAATCCTTTGAAGGGTCAGCTCCATGCTCTATCAGAGCACCCTCCATACTGAGTCCTGCAAAACCACTGCAGCACAGTAGGAGTGAGCTGGGATGGCATAAGAGGACCTGAAACCAGGAAAGGTCGCTCAGAAGTTGGCTTGTACTCACTGCCCCTCTGGCTCTCATTGGGGGTAGTTAGTGTACAATTTGCTTCAGAAATGGATTTTTGATTGGTTCCCTTTCTAGGTGAAAGTATCAAACCTAGATAAGAGGGGGAAAGGTGCCACAACTCCGCTGCGTCGGTGCACCAGGACTCATTTCCCCAGGCTGTTGAAGGAATCGTTCTAGAACTGCAAGTATCTACTTACTTCAGTGTGAGCTTGATGTTGCAAGTGGAGCAGGAGAAGCAGTTCACACACCAAGCCTTGTTGAGAGCCGATACCACTGAAAATAGAGGGGAGGGCAAAGCTAAATC